CAGCAGGTTGAGGCTGTGGTGGCCGGGAGCGTGCCACTGCACTCCAGTCTGGGTGATAGAGTGAGACTCCAACTCAAAAAAAAAAAAAGGAATATTGAAAACTTCTTGATATATAGACAAAGTGCCCTCTAGAAGTGTTTCCTGATTATCCCTTTCCCAGCAGCATATGAGTCTCCCCTCCTTACCTCTGTTAGCACTGAAGGTTTTGGTTTTGATAATTTGAATCACAAATGGTATATTTAATCTGAATATTTTTCGATGGTTATTAAACATATATTTCTCTTTTTGGTGATTTATTAACACCTCTGTGTGTTTTTATTGGACTTTCAGTTTTTTTCTTATACACACATTTATTTGGTACAATTCAGTAAAACTCTTTACTACTTGTTTTATTATCTGTAAAGACAAGATCTTGTATTTAAAAAGAAAAAACTGCCTTAGCTGGGCTCGGTGGCTCAACCTGTAATCCCGTGCTTTGGGAGGCTGAGGTGAGTGGATTGCCTGAGCCTGCGGGTTCGAGACCCACCCAGGCAACTTGGCAAGACCTCAACTCTACAATAAATTAAAAATTAGCCAGGCGTGGTAGTGCACGCCTGTAGTTCCAGCTACTTGGAAGGCTGAGGTGGAAGGATCGCCAGAGCCCAGCAGGTTGAGGCTGCGGTGGCCGGGAACGGCCACTGCACTCCAGTCTGGGTGACAGAGTGAGACTCCAACTCAAACAATAAAAATAAAAAACAAATCAAAACAAACAAAAAAAAACCTGTGCCTCTGTACATATGCAGAAATATTAGGATGTGTATTTGCCAAAATGTAGTTTTTTAGGTGCTAGAATTTTGGATGGTTTTAACTTCTCTTTATGCTGAGCTCTTTTAAAATTATTCTCTGATTATTTTTATATTACAAAGAAAATTCTGGTTCTTGTGGTCAATGAGTGAAGGACCAGCCCTTCTCTCCTTGCTCCCTGGTGACCTGCTCTGGCCTCTCCCACAAACGTGGAGCTGAATTCTTCTGAGTGGGCTCCCGGTGCCTTCCCCATGCCAGCTCTTGCCATGCCCAGACCACCTGGCCCACTGTCATCTGGCAGTGTGCACATGTGGGAAGGGTAGTGAGGAAAGTATCCTGATGCTTCTCTTTTTTCCCTGGCATAGCCAGCCTGCTATGGGATGGATGAGGAAGAAGACCACTATGTTGCGCAGCTCAGGAAAGTCTATGACAGCTGCGACACCACGGGGACAGGCTTTCTGGACCATGAAGAGCTGACCCAACTCTGCCTTAAGCTCCACCTGGAGAAGCAGCTGCCCATCCTTCTGCAGACTCTTCTTGGAGATGACCACTTTGCCAGGGTGGGTGCTGGACTCTATTCTTGTAAAGAAGAGCACATTTGGTTGTTATGGGCATTTAATAAATAATCAGTTGAGTAAAGATGCTTGTCGGCCGGACGCTGTGGCTCATGCCTATAATCCCAGCGCTTTGGGAGGTCGAGGTGAGAGGATTGCCTGAGCCCATGGGTTCAAGACCAGCCAGGGCGATTTGGCGAGACCTTATCTCTACAATAAATCAGAAAAAATAGCTGGGCATGGTGGCACATGCCTGTAGCTCCAGCTACTTAGAAGGCTAAGGCAGAAGGATTGCCTGAACCCAGCAGATCAAGGCTTTGGTGGCCATGAGTGTGCCATTGCACTCCAGCCTGGGTGACAGAGTACGACTCCAACTCAAAAAAAAAAAAAGATGCTTGTTAGAGGAAAGTTGGAATAGTGTCCTAGCTTTTCCCTATGGCAGTCCTGCGTTTTGTAGAATTTTCATAAGATTGCTTTTTTTTTTCATTTTGAGTCAGGGTCTTACTCTGTCACCAAGGTTGGAGTGCAGTGGCATGAGCAGGGCTCACCGCAGCCTCAACCTCCTCCTCCTGGGCTCAGGCGATCCTCCTGCCTCAGCCTCCCAAGTAGCTGGGACTACAGGCATGTGTTACTACACCTGACTAATTTTTTGATTGTTTTTGTTTTTGTAGAGACATGGTCTCGTTAAGTTGCCGAGGCTGGTGTCAAACTCTTGGGCTCAAGCAATCTGCCTGCCTTGGCCTCCCAAAACTGGGATTAGGTGTGAACCACTGTGCCCGGCCTCAAAGATTGCTTTTTTAGTGTAGCAACTACCAGAGGTTTTGTTTTTCCAGAAAGATGTTTTAGTAGTTTGTTCCAAGGATAGGATGGGCGGGTGTTTGGTACGGGTGGGTGGTGAGTAGTTCACAAAGACCTCAGGGATCAAATCTGTAAGCAAAGCTGAGAATCAGAGATCGCTTCAAAGCACTTTGAAGGCAGATTGTCTTACAAGATTTCCCAGCTTGAAATTCATCTAGCATTTGGACAGAGCAATTGCAAACTACTGTTGTAAGAATAACGGAGACCCATGTTCAGAGGTATCCCATCATTTCTTCTAGGCCAGATAGCAAACATGAACTTGAAGAGTTTTTTTCCCCCGGAAGGTTGAGGGCATCTGGAATAGCGATCTAAGTCCTAGATCACAACCTCCTTTCATAACTGAAGCACTAACAAGCACCTCTTTCATGTGTCCAGATATTAACACGTTCATGCTAAACATAATACCTGTTATCTTGTTGGCTATCTTAGCTTTGAAGGAAGAACATTTTCCCCACAAGACTCACTAAAACCATTTTCATTTTGAATGGAAAAAAAATTCCAGCTAATAAATTTTCTTGAATTGGCCCTTGGGCTAAAATGAATGAAAAAAAAAAAAAACTAAAAAAACTGATGGCCCAGTGGAGAGTCCAGGTGAGCCCCACCTCTGCTACTTCCCCAAAGAAGCCTCCGCTGCTCTGTCAGCAGAGGACTATTCCACCTTCTTGAAGAACTCTGACTCAGTAAAAAGGGGCCATGCCCTTTCTCTGTCTCTTTAGTCTATTCCTGAACTCTTTTATAGGCTTAAGAAGCAAATGTGGGGCTGGGAGTGGAGGCTCACACCTGTAATCCCAACACTTTGGGAGGCCGAGGTGAGAGAATTGCCTGAGCCCATGGGATTTGAGACTAGCCTGGGCAACTTGGTGAGACCTCGTCTTTACAATAAAATCAAAAAATTAGCCAGGCATGGTGATGCGTGCTTGTAGTTCCTGTTACTTGTAAGGCTGAGGGGGAAGGATCATCTGAGCCCAGCAGGTCGAGGCTGCGGTGACCGTGAGCGTGCCACTGCACTTCAGCCTGGGTGGCAGAGTGAGACTCTGACTCAAAGAAAAAAAAGCAAATGTGTTTTTTATGGGTAATGTTCTAACCTCTCTGAATATCACCTGGAATTGTATTTGGGATCTGGATGAGCGAAAGACACATTTGTGAACAGCTGACACTGGTTATTTAATTGGTATAAACTGTTGGTTGTTTTTCTTGATGTTTTTGAAAAATCAAGAATTTGGAAATCAAAGTTTGGAAAAGTCACAACCAGAAGATTAACTTTTGGGCCTAAATTCAGATAATAGATTCTGTTGATTAAATAAACCAGGTTATTCTCAAGTTTTTCTTCACTTTATGCTTTGTGTATGCAAGAATGGTGTAAGATTTAGAAACGTCAAATTATGACAGGAAAAAATGATCAGTATTAGAATATAAGCAAGGAGAAAAATCAGCTCAGTTTACTTGCAATTTCTGACTTCAGCGTGTCTCTCCCCACCCCTCACTCTGTCCTGTCTCCTCCTTGGTGGTTGTCACAGGGAACGATATCTATGTTCAGACTCTTATTGTTCCTCTGAGTCATCCTGTGGACAGGGCAGTGCTCACACAGTCCTCATTGAGATGGAACATTGTACAGAGATTTTAGTGAAGCGCAGGTATCATGCCAGAAATAGCATCCATTTTCTCCAACAGTAACCAAATGGTGGAGAATTGAGGAAGTCTCAGAGAAAATCAAGATAAATCCTTTATGCAAGAGAATGGATTGGCTTTTCAGTTCAAATATTAGTTTCCAGTATCCAAATTCCTTGTAGTAACTATATAGTATCACATATATAAGCTTTAGTCATTGATATGGAAATCCAATGATAAAAATGAAGCACTATTATAATATTTTGAATTAACAAAGTTATTTTTGGATGCTATGAGGGAATGCTTGTTTTTAATTCCTATTTTCTGTTAATGAAACCTTATCAAGGTCTGTTTTCAAGCTAGAAAGTAAATATGACCTAAAATTGTTGTGACTTTTGTGGGAATTTCCATGCCTACTTTATGTTATGTCATCTTGTTTTTATTATACCAGTGATGAGGATCTTAACCTCAAGTGTTTTAAATTTGGTCAGAGAAAGAATTCTCTCTCTCTCTCTCTCTCTCTCTCTCTCTCTCAAAACAAAAGTATTTATTATTTTTAAAGATACAAGTTTTTGTAGAGAAAGGATTTCTCTCTGTTGCCCAGGCTGGTCTCAAACTCCTGGCCTTAAGCAATCCTCCTAGTTGGGCCTCCCAAAGTTCTGGGATTACAGGTGTGGGGGAAAAAATGATCCTTTTTTGTTGTTGTTGTTGAATCAGAGTCTCACTCTGTCACCCAGACTGGAGTGCTGGTGGACGCTTATGGCCACCACGGCCTCAACCTGCTGGGCTTGGGCGATCCTTCTGCCTCAGCCTTCCAAGTAGCTGGAACTACAGGCATGCATCACTATGCCTGGCTAACTTTTTGATTTATTGTAGAGATGAGGTCTTGCCAAGTTGCCCAAGCTAAAAATCATTCTTAATGTGGTATTTAAAATACAGTCAGCCCTCTGTATTATGGGTTCTACATCTGTAGATTCAACCAACCACAGATTAAAAATGTATTCTTTTAAAATGAGTGGTTTCCTCTTTACTGAATATGTCCATTTTTTTGGGTCATTATTCCACAAACAATACACTATTGCAGCTATTTGCGTAGCATTTACGTTGTAGTCGGTATTATCAGTAATCTAGAGGTGATGAAGTATATGGGAGGATATGTATAGGTTATATGCAAATATTGTACTACATCATTTTTTATTTTTTTATTTTTTTTAATTTTTTTTAGTCAGGGTCTTATTCTCTCACCCAAGCTGGAGTGCAGTGGTGCAATCATGGCTCACTGCAGCCTTGACCTCCTGGGCTCAGGCAGTCCTCCTGAGTAGTTGGATACAGGTGTGAACCACCACACCTGGCTTAATTTTTTATTTTTTCTTTTTGTAGAAATGAGATCTTGCTATGTTGCCAAGGCTGCTCTTGAACACCCGGGCTCAAGTGATTCTCCTACCTTCGCTTTCCAAAGTACTGGGATTAAAGGTGTGAGCCACTGCACTTGGCAGTACTATTTCGTTTTATATAAAGGACTTAAACATCTGTGGATTTTGGTGTCCACCAGTAGTCCTGGACCCAATCCCCCAAGGATTCTAAGGGACAGTTGTAAATTTGAAGTTGAAAGTGACTCTAGATCACACAGTCCAGCTCCTTCATTTTGCGGTGAGTGAGTCTAAGGTCATACAGAGATAGGATGGTGTGTCTTATTGGCAAACACTCAGATGCCTTGGGGTGCTCTTCCCCTTTGTGAACTGTGAAGAGGGACAGGGAAGCAGACAAGCATGGTTAAAACGGTACCACACTGGCCATCCGATCCCCCTGCTCTTTGATGGATGGAAGAACGTCAGCTGATAATTATTACCAGAGACACAAAAGAATCTGATTTGGTTAAGCAAGATTGCCATGCCGTTATCCGTCCATGTATTCAGTGAGCATTTTTGAGCACTTATTATGTGCCAGGCAACATCAGATGCTAGGGATATGCAGATGAAAGAATCACAGCTTCTAGCTGGGTGCGGTGGCTCACACTTATAATCCCAGCACTTTGGGAAGCTAAAGCAAGAAGATTGCCTGAGCCCACGGGTTCAAGACCAGCCTGGGGAACTTGGCAAGACTTTGTATCTACAATAAATCAAAAAATTGGCTGAGCGTGGTAGTATGTGCCTGTAGTCCCAGCTACTTGGAAGGCTGAGGCAGTAGGATCGCCTGAGCCTAGCAGGTCGAGGCTGTGGTGGCCATGAGCTTGCCCCTGCACTCCAGCCTGGGCGACAGAGGGAGACTCTGACTCAAAAAAAAAAAAGAAAAGAAAAGAAAGAAAGAATCACAGCTTCTGTCTTCATTGGAAATGAAATACATGCAAGATTATTCATTTAATCAAACATTAAAAGTTTGGAAGTGACCTTTTCAGTGTGGATTTGGTTAAGTAAATCCCGGTAGATCTACATTTTATGCAGCCCTAAAAGAGACTGAAGAAATTTCAGATACTGGAGAGGTAGCAAATTCAGACCAGGCTTATTTTGTTTTGTTAGGAGTCGGAGTATCACTCTGTAACT